AACAGGCAGATCAAATCTGATCAACTCCACTTAACTCATCAATTGAGAAAAAAGAATAGTGTATTTTATCGTCTTCTGAATATTTCATAAACCCTAAAATTTAAGCATCATGAATAAAGATCAAAGTGATTGTTTGATACATTGTATGATGTTTCTTTTAACAAAAGATTCAAAATATGTTGAAGACGAATCAGCTTTCGAACAGCAAGTGAGTGATAATTCATTTATTTTCTAAATAATAGCCCAAATATTCAAGTACATATGCTTGATTACAAAAATATAACAGAAAAATATTAGATGTTTAAATATTCAAAGCTTGACACTGTTATGACTAAAAACCAAAGTTCGTATGCGTTATCAGTTCGTGTATCTGATATTTCTAGCCAACAATTGGATCTTGAATGCATGTAGCTTCAGGTGGCAGTATATTCAAAACAACATTACTAACGCCACAATGATATCCTGGACAACAGTTTTGGGGCGTTTGATAGCAAAGTGTTCCGGAATTAAGACATTTAACACAGGTCGCTGATGTTTCATTTATTACTTGTAAGATATATCCTTTACAACAGGTAATCTTTTCACTTGTAATACAGTTGACTGATCCAGAAGATTGAGTTTCAGCAGTATCTGTCAGTAGGATTATACTTATCAATAGTAGCATGAAGAGAGTCGTAGAGTGCATCGTACAACTGATAATCGATTTCAAAATTTTCTTTGAGGCGTACGTATGGGACACTATGCAGTGCTTACATAAAGATGTAATCTCACCTTAATGAAGTTGCACCTTGATTGATTAAATATAGAATGAAAAAAAAACAAATATACATTATATTTTTTTTATCCTGTTCTAGTTAAATTTAAATGATTGGATAAAAACTAATCGGAAGGAAGAATAAAATATTACAGTGCATTAATGCGTACATAAATATATATATATATATATATTTTTTTTTTGACGCAGTTGTCAACTGAATGTAACGCAAAAATCAATCAAACGCAACAATCAAGTCACATGAAGGCAACGTTGGAAGAGAAGCTCGATGAGCAGCATTTAGTCATCATTCCTACATCATTTCACGTGTTACTTAACTTAGTAGATAATTTTCTTCACAAAACGGATCAAATAAATATTCAGATACTAGACTTTGAACACTTTTCAATATCTCTAGTAAGTGATGGTGAAAATCGTACATCTTTCCAAGAATCATTCAAAATATAAATAAACAATTCTGATCCACTAGAAAACGAAACAGAATTCACAATGGCATCAACAAAAAAGATTTATCAATCAAAATTTGCTTCGATTTATTTAAGTGATTGATTGATTGATAAAAGTCACTAATTTGAATGATTGTTGGATATGTTTTGTCTGACTTTGATAGTATAATTGTTAACATTCGGAATTATTCATAGTGTATATGCTTCTCTTTTTGTACACTATCTCAAAAAAAGAGCGATTTGAGATCCATAAAATTGAGGAGACAAATGATAATGAATAAATTTCGACTTAAAGTTGTTTTTTTTTTCTTGATAAATCTTTCGATGAATACTCAGAGAACACCCATAAACTTTCAATTAAGAAATGATCGATTTTTCACTGTCGTCTTGATTAAATAAGTGAAGAACTCACATTCTATCGTTAATGCATACAACAATTCAGTTACATAGTAGATTTTGACTACAAGAATAAAATAAAAAAGAAATCGAAGAAAAGAAACATTCATAATGTATTCTATGACAAAGTCATGAGATTCAAACTGTTTCTGTAGATTGAATAAATAAAAAAAGCAAAAAATAAATATCTTTCTATCATAGAATAAATGCTAAATGAACATCAGAAAAGAAGTATGAAGGGCTTTCCAATATTCAGAAACTATATAAGATGAGATTGAATACTCTTCATCCACTGTTTTTTTTAATACTATCAAAATAATTTAAATAAGTTTTCAAATTTCGAGCAATAAAATATACTCAGACTAGTGACCTTGTCAGCATTATTCAATGAATCATTAATTACTTACTTTCGATAGATCTATCAGAAAATAACACATGTTTCTCATGGTTCTTTGAGATGACCTATCGTAGATGTGCACTGCTCGGTAGTTATCAAAACGAAATATTTTGTGCATATATGACCCAGATCAAATACGTGATAGGATATGTTCAGGAAAATGCTCCGTAAATTAGATTAATTCTATGACCACAAGAGAGGTATGAACAGATTAATGAAAAGTACAACTATATCGAGTGTCACCATTGAACTAAACCACGATATATGACAAAGACTTGTACATGACTGTTGTGATTTGGTTATACAATTGCTTCAAAGTATCATTCAAGCAGAAGAGTAAACAGATTTTTCACAATATGTATAAAGAAAGCTAAAATGCATAGAAAATTGATTAAATATTAGGCTATATAAATACATTTCTATGTTTCGTTTATTCATTCATAAACTTGAATAGTTTAGTATATATTGATATAATATTCAATAAGAGCTTCGATCAATACAAGAGTGTGAATGTGAGTGACACATAAGATAGATTCACGTCGAAACCTTCCCGAGTTTTCTGATCGAGTTTCTTATTCGAACGTTTTTTATTATTTTTTTTCTTTTATATAACAAAATTTCATTCATCATTGCCGACGACTGCTATAAGAAAAAACAAATCCACTTATGATGTTGAATAATTCTATTAAAAAGAGTTGTAGGATAATTAATCAAAATAAATTCAAATACTATGAATAGGCACATAATAATCAAACGAAAACAACCATTCAATGATATATTTTCAGAAACTTTTCAATTTAAAATTTTGCAACAGTGAATCAGCATCAACTTTACAATTTGAAATATTCTATTGAAAATTAAAACGTGAACGTGTTTACTTGTCATAAATTTTTCCATCTACAGCTAAAATAATCCCTTTTTTTAAACAAAAAATGTTAATTTATATGATAACAATTATTTCAATATCGAAACAATACGTTTACGTGCATTAATAAAATATCAACGTTATTTAGTTGTCAATTTTTGGTAGTTTTAACATGACAATCATTTCTCGAAAGTTTACAATGAAAAAATATAATTCGATTAAAAATCATCAAAATACAGGATGCCTCAAAAGTTCGTGCAGAAAGTTTGCATATACAATTTAATTGACAACAAATGTTCAAAATTTCTATCATCAATTGAAGTGCATAAAATCGTGATTTTATTAATCTAAAAACATACTGTAAAGAGTTTATTTTCGAATCAATTTGTTGTCTTTAACGGTTCTTATTTTGCATTCAACTAAAGCTTTACATACATTTTATACACTGACGTTTATATTATATATTTATCGATATTTTTTATCATTGACATCATTTCAGCTCTCTCTTCTCAATTTTCTTCATAAGGCTGTTCGAAGAATGACACTTCGTATGCTTTTATGCAAAAATATTCAGTCCTACTTCGATGCATTCTTGTTCCTATGATATAACAGGCGACTGCAACAGTTTCAATATTGAATTGGCGTTCATTCTTACAAACCTTATGAACTTCATAGTTTTACTCAATGTATTTTTGCCAAACGAGAAAAGCAGTTTCCTTTTCATAATTATAAACGACTGAGATTTCTTTATTACTAAAACTATTTTCATTGTAATATTTGCCAATACAGAAACTCATCTAAGAAAATATAGAACAAATTTTTGGGAATACACGATAATATTATGAAAAATTTATACAAATAGTCTGATCTATTGAAAATTTATTCAGTTAAACTTTCCGTACGGACTTTTGAGACATCCCGTACTAAATATCGATTAGATACTATTGAAATTCTTTTAAATATGGGCAATATTACAAAAGAAAATATAATTTCAAATTATTCTGATACAATTGATAATCACACAAATCATATATATTTTTTGCTTGTCCAGAAGGACTTTATGTTTTACATGATCAAAAACTTTTATATCAAGGACTGACTTGACCAACTAGTTATTTATTTTGCATTATTTATGATGATTTGTATTCGAACTGGTTTAAAAGCAAAGATACAAAACTGAACATTTTTCAAAAAATAAAGAAAAAGAAAATTTTCTTATTTATTCATAGGGAAAGTTTTGCCAACGAACATTTGTATCAGAAACACAATAGAATTTTACTTCTCTTATATTTCTATTCTTTGGCTATATTTATACACATAATTGATAATCATTACAGACACCTAACTATTACAAACCAGTACTACTAAGATTATATGATGGATATATATACTGGCCTCCGATTACAAATTTTCGAAATTATAGGAATTCCTATATAGGATTTCGTTTTCTGAATTATACGATTATTTTCACTAAAAAAAAAGTAAAAAATTAACCAAAATTTAGGTATTGTACGTCGAATCGCACCTCAAAGGTATGTGCTTTACTTGCAAGAAACAGCTATTCACATTATCTGGTGTTTTCGTAAAAAGTGATCATCGCGGGGGGGGGGGGGTAGTGCCGCGAAGATCTCCCTACTTCCCCTTAGGGCAAAGTCAAATCTCGTAAAATTTTTCTACTTTTTTTGACAAAATATAGGATTTTTCAAAAAAATAGGAATTATAGGACGAATCGGAGCCCAGTGTTTTGTCTATTAGAAAATATTTTTTTCATGCCTTGTAATTTCTTTCGAGATTGGTATGCTAGTATGAAAAATATTAGTAGAGAAAGTCGCCTATAAACAGCTGAAAAAATAAAAATTTATTCGATTAAAATTTCATTTATACTGTATATTTCACCTTGTCAAAGTATTGGCTTAATTCACAAGGGGTTTCTTAATTTAATATGGTTTTGTTTTTATCTTCAACCTAATCTATGATTACTCAATATAAATAAAATTCGGTCATCATACATTATTTCTTGATTAGAACTAGATAAGAATTCTATTACATTATAATTGGTACAAACCATCCGTCATGAATTCAAATGCAGCTACTGTGAAAAAAAAATAAATAAAAGAGATGCTAGTCAAATGTAGCTTTCGAATTTCTAGCTACCACAACAACTACAATAATAGCCACAAATGTATCAACAAAAACTACTACCACAAAAACTACTAGAATAACAGCTGCTGCAACACCACTGACAACAGCTGCTATTAATACGACTGTTACAACAACAATAGCAGCTATAACAACAAGGGCCATCACAAAAGCTATCATAATAGCAGTTAAAGAAACAACAGCTATTACTACTAGAAGCACATCAACAACAACTATCACCACCGCAACAGCTAGTACTACAAGCATGATAACAACAATAACAGCTCCAACCACAAGCATAATAACGACAACAGCTCCTACTACAAGCATGGTAACAACAACTACAATGAGAACAACAATTACTACAGGCATATTCACAACAAATACCACTAGAAAAATTACAACTAGAACTACTACTACTACTAGAAAAACTAAAACTATGACCGTGAGGATAATACTGACAAGTAGGTCAAATCTGGTAATAATTTATCGTCGAATGAAATATTGATTCTTATATTTGTAGCTAGTCTATGTTTATCTTCATGCAATTCAAAACAGACATGCATCAGAAGTTTTGTTTAGATGTAGGATATCTTTTATGCGTTTTGACATGATCTTGACCATAGTTGAGATATCTTTGGTAGTTAGAACGCCAACTGACAAGACAATTTACGATATAAATTCAGTCGATAGTTCATTTTCTGATGGAGGCATATTCGAAAGCTACAGTAATGGCTACCAAGAAGTGGATTCCGTTTATTGGCCAATTAATGGTTCGTTACCACCAACAGGCATTTATTATGTATGCTGTGAAATGCACACAACTAGTTCAATTATTAACAGTAGAAATCCACTCACAGTGACTGCTCTCATTATGTGTCTCTCTAGAACTTCTTTGACCTTTACACGAACATTCACTAATCCAAGAAACAAAACATTTGTTTGTTCGGAAAATTCAAGCAATCTGATTGGTTCATTCACTTATTCATAACAACTATTTACGAAAATCTATTATCACTACTCATAAACAGTTCATCATTTTATTCTAGAAATAAAACAGAAAATCATTACAAATGTTTTTTTTCTACATGTTCAATATTTATACTGTATTATTTTAGGAAATAATACATATTTTCTTGAGCATTGGAATTTGTCAAATACTATATAACGGTATATCACGATTTGACGAACGAAAAGAGTTGCATGTGTATTTGAGTATGTTCATCCTTATGTCACACATTTAATTTTGTCTGTTGGAGTATGAATCATTTTCTCCTTTCTCTATCTTAGATTGAAGTTTCCTTTTCGCATTCTTCTTTGGAAAAATAATCCCACCTTGAAAAGGTTGGATGTGAATCTTTTTTTTATCCAAATCTGCATTCTGCTAAGGATTCAATTCAGATCACAATATTACCACGTGATAGAAACTAATGTCGTTCTATTCCAATAAATATTTCTATCTGAATCGACAGCACTCATCATAATCTGCCATATCATGTACCTTGCAAACTGAAAAAGTTTGAACCTTTCAAAAACTTCTAAGAATACTGTTTTGATGAGATAAAGTTATGTTTTATGGTCGAGTATTCATAAAATTAGGGTGGATGTGAGTAGTTGTGTGGGTGTTGATCTTTCCTTCATTCATACTCACATCAACACCTACACCCACACCAATTCACATGTATCTACACCAGTCCACACCCACACCCTTCTCAAAAAGTATGTTCTTTTTCTTAGCTAAGTTTCTCTTTCTTTTGCTTGTTCTCTCTTCCATTCTTCATCCAGATATTCGATAATAAGAAGAAAAAAAAACTATGACAATGTGCACTACATAATCATTATAACATTGTAAAAACAAGTCTTGTTTCTGTTTTGATCGCAAATTTTATTTTTTATTGATTGAATATTTTAAATATTTAGTGCCTATATATATTTTTTTCTATGTTTTGATTTCACAGTATTATAATACTGATATAATAGTTATTTGAATACGATAATGAAGTCAAGTTAATGGATTAGTGCCACTTGAATTGTTGTTCAAATATATTACTTCTGATTGTTGTAACTCTACTGATTATTAGTTTATTATCCTTCTTATTCATTGTTATGTCATGGTTTAGAAGTAGTTTCCTTTAGGAATCACCATTTCTTTCTTTTTTACATTCATTTGAAAATTTTTTCCATGTTTGACACTGCGACAAATACGCCGCTTTTATACAGATTATTAAATTATTTTCTTTGATTCGGGAGAAAGTATCAATCTATTGATATTTTCTCACTTTGTTATACTTATCTGCATACATTAAAATAAAATAGAAATAACGAATTTTAATTAATCATAAAATTCTTATAATAATTATTCGAATAAAATCCTGACGTAATGTTTTGACAATCGAAGTCTTCTTCTTCGATGCTGTATACAAATTAATAGATTTTTCTATTTACTTACGTGTTTTTCTTTCTTTTGTCCACCATATCATAGCGAGTCTGTGAAAAACAAGAATTTGATCAAACAGCATCGGATGACGTCAGATAATCGTCAACGATGAAATTAGTCATAAAATAAATTCAAAATAAATGAATTTGAACTGTATAATTATTCGCACTTCTTCATTAAATCATTCATTTCATTTATAGAGCTTTTACTGCAGTACATGAAGACTGAATTACATTTTACTAAAAATGCTACAGAACAAGATATTGAATGCTCATATACATACAGTATTTAATTCTATTTCATTCAATTGAAATAATCTATGTAACACAATATATGAATTTCACAATTATATATTATAAATTATTAATACACAAACAACTTTTTGGTTATTTAATGAACTATTTCAAACATATGAGATAAATAAACTAATCTTTACTATTACATGTCATGTATACAAGATGTAAAATCTAAACATTTATTGTAGAAAAAAAAAATTCAGAGTTAACAAGGATTGGTAATGAATAAGTCTTGGACAATACGATTTGATTGCAAAAAAAAATACCATTAATATGCTTTCATTATATGAATTTAGTGAAGAACAAACGCAGAATTCCAACAGAAGAAAATAATTATTGAAATGTTTTGAAAGTTTTATTTTTGTGAATAATGAATTGAGTCTGACTCGTGAATATCAACAGATTTAGGGGCGATGTTTTAACCATAATCTGGTTTAGCCAAGACTAGCATTGTCTGAAATTTTGGTTGAAATCGGATGAAAACTAAAATAGTTTATTCCTAAGGAGAGCTTCCTTAATATCTCGTGACTGAATCCAGTCGTGAGATATTCTGCCTTACATTTGGTCAATAAACAAAAAAACCGTGCAGAACTTATGTACCAATCTGATAGAAACTTTATTTTTACCTCTTAAGTATGCTTTTAAATGCTCTTTAAAATGACTATTTATTTGTTATAATTTCTTAAACGGCTGCAAAAATATATCTATTACAAAAGTTTTGTGAACTTTTTCCATACCTTAGTTCGATTATTAATAGTAATATACAATTTTAATTTTTCAAGATATAATATACGACAAAAAGAGGTCGAATTTGAGCATCATATGTATCACTTAAACAATAAAATATTAGTAAAGAGAAACATTTCAGATTAGGTAGATCATGCCAGAAAAAATATAAATCAAAATATTATGATTAATAAAAAAATAAGAAAAAATTTCAGATGAAGAATTCAAGATTGAAAAACAAGCTCTATTTCTATTTAATGCATTTTTTAAATATTTTTTCTACTTTATCATAGAAATACTTTCCTCTAAAATGATGATATACAATAATTCTATTATATTTCTAAACCTCTAAAATATAAGAAATAATAAATGCTGAAAGAACTCGAAAAGTTTTTCGTCAAGTTTATTATTATATCTATAGTACAAAAATTGTTATTTGTATATGAAACAAGTCATATCATCAGATATCATATAATTATTTTCATTACATAAAATCATCAGAATTAAATCAAGCAAATGTTTATTTACATTCAAATTTTCCTTGAACAACTCATTAGTTCATAACAAATAAGTGTAGGTGTGGGTACGAAGAACATCAATACCTATAGCTACACCTACACCCTTACCTTATCATTCTCATGATACGGCAGAAATATTTCTAAAACTAATTTTAAATATTGAATCTCTATAACTTTAAGAAATGAAAAGCTCGACTTCTTCGTAGAGTAGATGTGGACACCTGAGAGTACATGTTTCATAACTATTAACTTTTACTCTACTAAAGACATTTATAAGGAAAATAAATTATCTGACGTGATCACATTTTAATAGACATAATGTTTATGTTTGTACAACTATTACAGTTCTAATATCAATTAAACCTACTGAATTCTCATATGAACTAAAGATATCTCAATGATATTTATCAGTCACTTTACATCTACAGAATTTGGCAACTTCCTAAACAATACACATTTATATTGGAGAGAGAACAAAGGCAGAGATATCAATGGATAATAGACTGACGGACATTAGATATGCAAGGCAAAGATCAGTCAATAAGAGATGAAGTCAATATCGGCCGGCAACTGTGAACAAAGAACTTTCTAATTATAAAAATGGATTATCATGTCGCACACTAGCATATCTATACCCAAAAAGAGTTCTATTTCTTCCTTTCTTTTATCATTAATTTTTTGGCAAGTTAAAATATCAATTTCTTCCATCATGGGAGTAATAAAAGTAAGTATTTTCTATGCTAAATTTTTTTTCCTTGCTTTTTGAATGTTACCAAATATTTTTCTTCGACCAACTAACCCTAAAAAAAAAGGTTATAGATCTATTTGGATGCTAATACATCCATTCATTGGATTCTATGAATCCTTGATATGGTAATGCAGGAATTTAGTTTACTTTCTAGGAGTTACAAGATTCCCATGGCATACGCTACTAGATTTCTCAAACTCTGTTCAGACGGTTATTAGAGTGTTGTTAATTGAAATAGAAAGACCTTATCCTTTGACATTTAATTGACATATATAGGACTGCAGATTTGCTATTCATATTGGAAAGGTTCATGATCATGAATATTATGTGTTTTTGACTTTCTAAAACTTGTATGTATGATTTTTCCACTCTGCCGTAGTCTTTGTTAAAACTCAGCTGTAAAATTCAGCGATAGTCTTCAGTTTTATACTAATGTAAATATTTAATTTATAGTCTTCTCGATAGATTCAGTCTAAGTCCAAAGATATACTATGTAAAGGATTTGGTATATTTGTTATTAAAGATTCTACAGAAATAATAGTCTGGTCTCAATCGCTATCACTACATCTGTTCTTAGTGTCTAATATCTATGCTTTATACTCCTTATAATTCTATAAAAGCATCCTACAACGTTGCTCATAATTATCAAATCCTAATTCGTGAAGGTTTTTGTTTTCAGAATCAAACAATCGTTAAAGGCAGGTCATAATAGTTTTGTGCACTGGGATTCGTGTCGATATTCATTACTTTTACTTATTCTTTCATCTTCACTTTTCTTCAGATATTAATTATTGTTGTTTCTGTTCATATAAATCTTTATTAGTCTTCTACCATTATTCATGATTTATTGACCTTTGATATATTGTTTGATGCCGAAAATCTTAAATTCATCCTTTACTCACGAGTAATAACATTCTTGTCATAAAATTGTTAATTGGCATCGAAAAAGCCGATTCTGTACTGGCAATTACAGTACATGAAATTTTCTTTAACATGCTACATAACTGTAAAAAGTGCTAGAAGACAGAAGTTCTTTGCATTACTTTCGTTTGATTCCACCTTAGTTTTAAAAGTATTGATCTTTCATTTTTCTTTGTAAATTACTACGTATTTGTAGATCCTTGTTTTAGTTTGCTAGGAATATGAAAATCACGGAATGAGAATTCATATTTACAATAACAATATAAATTGTTTCATTAAAAAAAAACCTAGATCAAAGTTTCAGAAAACATCTTGAATTCTATTCACTATTTCCAAAAAAATCTATTAAGTATTATATTAAAAAAAACAATCGAATCATTTGTCGAATATCAGTGTGAATTATTTGCATTTTTCATCTTGGTCACTTTTTCATACATCTGTATTTGTAGATTTTACTGATATTTATTCGATCTGTATGATCAGTTATAGTAAATCATTGTTTAACTATCAAAAACTTAAAAGGCATCAAATAGTAAAAGTTTTATTCTTAACAGACACGTGTCTATATTTCTAATGTCGAGCTTATATAAGAATATTTAAGTTTTATTTAGTTCAATATAGCAACAGTAAATTTAGTATCGAATTTCCTTCTTTTTTTCGCCGCATCGATTATCATTTTATATTGATTAAATAACTTTATGACTTTTCTCTCATATACGACTCAAAGAAAACTTTTAAAGACGTCAAAATTCCTATTAAAACACAAGATGTGTATTGCTTATTGACTGTCATCTAATAATGTTAGCAAACACATTTATGTAACAAAATCTATATGCTATTTTAAGGAATTCGGTAACTTTTTACAGAAACTAAAAGAGGTTCTTCTTCTCGACAACGACTGCTTGATTTAGCTTCTTTTCTAAAAATTCATATAACTTTCGAAAAAATCTTAAATATGTTCAACTTAAGTTAAATTATTAACAGTGATGATATAGCTCAGTCATATAATTAAGCTTATATATAACAATTTTTTCATATGCTATTTACTTCTTTTTAGAAAATGCCACAATGCATTATTCTTCAGCAGCAATCGATGGAACAGATTGTACAACAACAGCAACAGATTATACAGGAACAACAAGAGATTACAGAACAACAACAAGTCACACAAAAACAAAAAGAACTACAAATCACACAACAACAGAAGAAACTGATTGCACTGAAATAGCAGCAAATTATACAGCAACAGGAACGTATTACACAACAACAACAACGAATTTCACAACAACAGAAACAAATTAGACAACAGCAACAAAAACTTGTACGTCAACAACAGCAAATTGCACAGTACCAACAACAACTTGTGCAGCAACAAATTACAGAGGAAAATCAGCATATTGCACAGCAACAACAACAAATTGCACAACGACAAGGACAACTTGCTAAGTAGCAACAAGAGATGGCACAAAAGCAACAAAAATTATCAGAACAACAACGAGAATGTGCACAGAGACAACAACGCATTGTACAAATGCAACAACAACAAATGACCCAAATACTCGATATTGCTAGTTATATGCTTAAAAGAATAAACGATCAAGTACCAAAAACAATTTAAACTGTATATGTTTGAATCTGAATGTATGTCTTTCTTTTTCACTTACACTATCATATCTTTGTATTTTGGAATCGATTTTGGTTTGTTGAGTGTAAATATAAATAGAAAAAATACGAAAAATGAACTGAAAATAAGTTTGTAAATTTTTTATCAGAAGCCGAATGGTTTGGTCATCTAGATGAAAGAGTTGATGGATGGTAATGATCATTCAGCTGTGTAATGATGTGATTGTTTCTAATCCAAATTCTTGTTAACATCCATTAACTGAAACATATAACAATTATTTCATTTCAGCATTGAATAAGAAGTAGTTTTCAGAGAACTTATGTTTCAGATAAGTTTATATAAGGTCTTCAAAAGTCTTTTTGTTGATATACTGCGAATTAACATATTTATAATTATCGTCAAAATGATTTTCGAATAAGAATTAGATATGTTAAAGCTTATTATGGTCTCTGAGAAACATATTCTCAAGTAGTTATGAGTTTTGAAAAGCATTTCATAACAAAATAGCATATGCGAAAACGTATCAAACCAATGTTTTATTTTATTGCAGTGTTCATTTTACTATACATTCAAGTTCTCTTTTATTCTATTTAGAACATCTGTCGAACATTGTTTGATAATATCACGGGATAACTAGAAAAACACTGTAATTCATAATAAAAAGTATTCGTTTACATGTCAACTACTAAAATCCGGAATAATTTGTTCCCTAAAAAGAATATGAAAATGCTGAAAATATTCAAAAAAGCTTATTGAAAATAATGAAAAACTAAATATTATTTCATATCTAACAATCTCATAACTTTGACTAATTCTTTTGTCAACTCTGGTAAGATTTTAGAATTTTGTGACTACATACATTATTGAAAAATCTATCAGCTAACTCATTTAGTAAGAATATCACTGAATTGAAAATATTTTCCACGCTGTAAAACGAATTAATCAATCATATTTCGAACGATCATTATCAATTCAACAATAAAGATGGTTAAAGAAATTCATAAGAATATTCACATCAATATGGATTTATTTCACAATGATTGACAGGTCTGATACTTGAACTGAATATCCAAATAATTTTGATGCACAAGTATTTTCATATATTCTTTATGGATTCTCTTTTTTGTAGTATATTCGTTTACTTTTGGTTGTAATAATTCTGAACATGATGAAGAAGGATATTTCATTGACGATTTTCTCTTATTGAATTTAGCTGATGTTAATCTCTCATGTTCGATAAGATACTTGATAGTCAAGTTCTAGATCTTTATTCGCAAAAAAAGTTCAAAAGAAATTGATCGATCATTACTATTGTCAGGTTTGTTTGATTTCATAAACTTTGCCGACTTGTTTCATCAATATTGATATTCATGAAAACGTTGAATCTCTAAAGAAAATATCATGTGAGATTGAATGTTTGCAGATATTATTTCTAGTATTAGGGCTATACATTCATATTCAAATTTGTATTAGTCTAATTAATTCCATACTTATCGTTTTATTTCTATTTTGACGCTCATGCATTATATTTAGTTGATTGGAACTTTTCGGTCGATATCTGATGCCATGGTTGTATTTTTCAAGGGTTCTATAAATACTATATTAAACGTCTTTGAAATCTATTGTATGAATTTCTGTGAAATAACTTAATTAACTGCCTTCTATAATTCGAAATGATTCAAAATAAACATGTTTTTCTGAAAAACAAAGTGAAAATCCCGCCACTATTGAAAAACAGTCATATTTAACATTACTGTAGACGTTCGATAAGCAAGGAGTGCCAAATCTCAAATTATTACCAATTTTGAAATCTGCATGTCAATATTTCGAAATTTCAAAATTCTTTAATTTTCAAATTTTCAATTTTTGAAAGTATGGCTAATTGTGAAAAAGACTGGAATATGACATATGAGATATTTACTCACATCATACATTCTTGAAATCGTCAGACAAGCAGATATCAGATATTTACTCACACTATACATTTCTGAGCAACTACCAGAAGAGCAGATATTAGATATTTGGGTGTGTGAATGTGGGTGTGGGCGGTGTGTGTTAACAGAAGAAGTGCACCCACATCCACACCCACACTCCACACTCCACACTCACACCCTCGCAGCTGCTGTGGGTGCCGCGAAAGGACTGGCCATAAAAGGGCTGGCCATACTACCACACACATCACATGGCAGCTGCTGTGGGTGCCGCGAAAGGACTGGCCACAAAAGGAGTGGCCTCGAATGGGCTTGTCATACTACGACACACATCACATTGTAGCTGCTGTGGGTACCGCGAAGGGACTCATCGCGGAATGTATAGTGTAAGTAAATATCTGATATCTGCTTTTCTGAAGATTTGAAAAATGTATTGTGTGAGTAAATATCTGATATCTGCTTTTCTGGTAATTTTAAAACTGTACGGCGTGAGTAAATATCTGATATCTGCTCTCCTGGTAGTCGCTTAGAAATGTATGGTGTAAGTAAATATCTGATATCTGCTTTGCTGACGATTTCAAAAATCTATGGTATGAGTAAATATCTGATATCTGCTTTTCTGGTAGTTTTAAAACTGTACGGTGTGAATAAATATCTGATATCTGCTTTCTGCTGACGATTCTGTATTCTGTATAGGAGTAAATATCTGATATCTTGACCAAAATCAGATATCAGCAATCAGAGATTTAGTGAAAATTGGTAATAATTTGAGATTTGGCACGACCTCGGTGTGAGTGTGGAGTATGGGTGGGTGTGGGTGTGGGTGGGTGTGAGTGTGGCTGTGGCTGTGGGTGGGTGTGAGTGTGACTGTGGCTGTGGGTATGAGTGTGGGTGTCGATGACAAGATAATTCACACCCACACCCGCACCCACACCCAGACCCACACCCACCGCACACTCACACCCACACCCACACCCACGCCCACACCCACACCCACGCCCACACCCACACCCACTCCCACACCCACACCCACCCACACCCACACCCACACCCACACCCACACCCACCCACACCCACACCCTTTCAGTACCTCAGATATATTGACGTATTACCGTCAGTAGCTGTTAAACTTTTCGGTTCGAGCTTTAAACGGTTACAAAGATCCTTTCTATGAGAGTCCAAATTTTTTGACAAAAAAAAAGAACACTTATCTATCGATCAAGAAACATATTTTGCAATATATTTTTTTCATTATATTTTTTGCAACCACCTTTTTAATTAAAAACTTATCTCGGTATTGAATCCGCTTATAGTCCTTTTATTAGTACAGACAGCTTAGAGACATCAACAATATATAGTGTCAATGGAATTGAACCAATTCTGACAATTTTAATAGATTTCAAAAACGCTGAACCCTTCTCACGCAAGACATTATGATATTCTACTCTCGAAAAAAAGGTATACTATCAGATATTATAGTGCGCACTACACGGATCAGTTAATTGACAGTATTGTCTAGTTCGAATCACATGAGAACAATATGTCGAAAATAAGACTTCCATTTAAGTGTTTAGACTATTTATCGTTGTTTGATTTGACATGTTTGACTTTGAACATTGATCATCTCCCACTTGCAAAGTATTTTGAAGAGATGCTCTTAAATGTGATTCAGATACTAGTTAATGATTAACATCTCAGAGTGAACAATTTCAATAAGTCTTATCAATAGCTCTAGTTTATAAATAAATTAGTATCAAGTTGAAGACTTCCTGCTCATAAATCAGTTTTATAGGCTACAATATTTGTAAGAAAAAGATTGTTTTATGCATTTGTGTTATACGATCGTTCAACGAAATATATATTTCAGTTTCAAAAAATGCGTCTATCATTCATGATAACCGCAAAGACGATTTCGTAATTTGTATACCAGTCGAACGAAAATTGGAACAACAAAACGAAGTCCAAGTAAAAGTCCATTGATAACAGTCAAGAAAATTGTGACTGCATAAAGAACATCCAAACGTTTTTCATACAAATAAGTACAATGTGTTGGTGCACATGCATTATAATATCGTTCATAAGATATTTCACTTGACCAATAATCAATAAACAACCGGTAGACCAGTGTTTCGATTGTGTCATTGATTCTAAAGTTTGAAGTTGATGAGGAGAATTGTAGTGGTGAAATATGGATTATTTCAGGTAGCCATTCGGAACTTGGAATTCCAAGACCCGTTGCTGCCATGAGATCAGTCATACATGAAATTGAAAAAAAGCAAGAGAGTGATGAATGAAGAATTGATTCAATTAAAAAACATCCAATGAAAATATTTTCAATAGTGTAAACTGTGTGATGAGTGTAATTGTAGAAACTTGCCAATTCTGCACAAGTACTTGAAGTTGCACATGAACAAGTTTCATTATTGTAAGTTTTTGGTATAACAAATATAGGAGCATTGGCAGTAATTTTATCTACCTTAAATTCCACACTAGTTCCCAAACTCGATATTAAACCGTTCCCTCGAGTAGCGTCACGAAACATTTGCAGTTGACGAGAAAATAATATCAAAGTTGACTTTTGAAATAAATTGATTGTTGCATCCACCTGTGTTTTAAATAGAACCGCAGACATGACTTCAGATGACACAAATGATACTAAATTAAACTGTTCAATGGCATTATTTACGGTTGAGTTTGCTAGTTCACAATATTTTTCCAGAAAATTAAAGAAGAGGATAGACCAATTGCGAAAATCATCTTCTAGAAGCCACCATGCGAGAGCAGTTTGATATCTATAAAAATATGTAAACCATTTATTTAGGAAATTATTACTGAAGCAAATTGGATGGTATGTTGCACTGAGAAACATAATAAATTCATTGTTAGTTATAGACATATGAGCACAAGGACAATGTAATGTGTCAGAATAATGTTCTTGAAGATTTATATAAGTTGGCATTGAAGGAGTTGAAACAATGTTGCTAATAGTTCGCTCGACTAATCCAGTATAGAGAAAGAGGACAATTGTGAAATTGATCGCCAAAACAAGATAGAGACGTGTTGACACAATTTCTTGTCGTTGAGTATCATTTGTACTAGACTCATTTTGAAAAAGATTGAGTGTAGATACATATTCTCGGATTTTAATTATGTACGAAGTCTTCGAAACTAAAATAAAATGGATCATTGTGAAAGAAGAAAACTATGGATGTGTCAAGATCAAGACCAAACCGAGACTCTCTGTCCGTCTCACAAAAACTTGTGGCTTTGTTTAGTCTTGCGAGCGAGACTGACCGAAGCTTTGCCTTTTGTTTTTTATGATTGATCTGTTTGGTTATGTATCTAGTAATTGTCGGTGCTAGAATTAATATTTTTGTAGTACAAACTCCTTCGTTACATTGACATATGAAAGTGAAGTTTCGAAAATATTAATATAATAGTGTCAGATAAATTCAAGTCTAAGAAGGAATCCCACCATTATACTTGTCCTTGTGGATTATCCCTCAACCTAGGTACTTTTTCGCGTGATATTAGGTGAATTAGTTGAAATCAGGGATTTCATGAAAAGCCTTATAGCTCTTAAATCGAACAAGCAAGTAATATGAACCTTGCATAGATCAAAAGGGAACAAGTTTTTTTTATCGATTAGTTATATCACACTTTTGAATCGAAAGAGAAATGGCTTCAGAATATCGCTTTCAAAAAACTCCATCAAGAATTAATTTGCTTGGTTAGCGGTTGACTAATCGAATTTCAAGATAATATGATGGTAGAGGATGCTCTCTCTAGAATGGTGAAAATCACAGGTCGCTAGCTGCTACCATTGTGGAGTTATTTAGCTTACACTAACATATACTCAGTTCTGGTGGCCACAATAGATGAATGCAATGTAAGCGATTCGCAGTAAAAATTGCGTTGGGTCTCGAACGGAAATGTAACATGATTGAAGATTCGATAATAAACATGAGGATTTCTCTCTTGCAAGAATTCAAGAGATTCTACAAGATTTTAACTAAGAGTCGCGTTGATTTATTTCATTTAGTCATGGATACAGCCAGATAGACCGATCATGAAAGTAAAATGTTGAGTCTCGGCCAATTTCATTCAAGAAGTTGAATAAAACTTTAATTTTGTCCGACACTGATCGAGATTCGGCCATTTACTTTCGTGATTGGTCTGTCCGATTATGCATACATGGATAGATGAAATCAAACAAAATAGTTCTCAATAAAAATCTTGCAGTCTCGGGGTACTGGACACGGAAATATTTTCGTCTATCTCAGTGAATTATCTCTTATGCTTTTTGTAGAAAAAGTGAAGATCTTCGACAGACATTCCTGTGTCTTGTTACATGCCTACTCATTGATATGAAGATCAATATTAATGGAGACGACCGAGACCGCGAGTCTCAATCTCGATTACCCAGGTCGAAATAGCTATGTCGGATCCTGTCGGATAGATTTCAAGTCCGTTGAGATACGGCTAATCGGATTCGGTGGGTTATTTTTTGTCGGATTCCGATGCTATCCACTGTTTTCCTTTGATATCCGCCGATCGGATTCATTGAGCTCCGACTAGATTCATATATTCGGAACTGGTCAGATCCGATCTCAAGATCTGTTCGCTTCCGATGGGATTCCGGGGAATCTGATGTCAAGAAATCGCCGGATTTTGCGGTTTCAAGTGTCACCGTATTCCATGATAAAACCGATCAATCGCTGGTATCGGAACTTGTCGGATTATATAAGAATGCAGAATACCCAGGCCGATCTCAAACTATCGGATCCGATGGAAATTAGTCGGAAGTTGTCGGATGTCGGAAAATGTCGGATTTTCAGAGTCCCGACAAGATCCCGGCCACTTCCGACACTTTCCGACATTCGACAACTTCCTGTCGGAATCCGATATCAAGGATTCCGACGAATTGCCATCGGATTCGATAAAATTCGATAATTTTTCCGATAGGATCCGACGAGATCCGACTGTCGGATTGCTCGTTCTGAGTATCCAGTATTACTTTCCACGTAGTCGGATTCATGAATTAGAATATATTCTGACATATCAATCAGCTAATCATCTAATAAGATATTTCTCTTTTTAAAATTTCCAACAACAAAATCAAAAATCTGGAAATCCGATTTCGTCCAGATTTCATTCACCGTTTTGTTCTACAGATATCGATCTATATAAGGAAATCTCTACTTCAATATTTCGAATGAATTTCCAAAGTGTTGCTTATATTAATTTTACTTCAAATGATTTATTTCCTTATACAATTATGTTTTCCACACAGCGGATTCATGAATTAGAATATATTCTGACAGATCAATCAACTAATTAATTAATTTATTAAATATTCCTAATTTTACAAAATTCCAACAACAAAATCAAAAATCTGGAAATCCGATTTGGTCCAGATTTCATTCCCCGTTTTGTTTTACAGGTATCGATCTATATAAGGAACTCTCTACTTTCATATATCAAGTAAATTCTGTCATTTTGTATAACTAAATTCTATATATTAGGAACAATCTTAGTACAAGCGTTGTTCAATTTTAAGAAGGATCGTAGTATATACATTGTTAGATTCGAGGAATAATCCCAGTTGAAACAGTTGAAATCCTTTAGACTCTTGATGACATCCTGATGCAATCTTTAGAAATTTTGATAACATCCTGGTGAAATCTGTTCAAAATGTCGATTCAATCTTTGGAAAATCTTTAGAATTCTTGATGAAATCCTTGGGAAATCTTCGTGAAATCTTCAGAAATCTCGACGAAATCCTTGAGAAGTTTTTATAAATCTTGATGAAATCCTTAGGAAATCTTCAGAAATCTGGATGAAATCCTGGACAAGCATTTAGAAATCTTGATGAAATCCTTGGGAAATCTTCAGAAATCTCGATGAAATGCTGGGGAAATCTTTAGAAGTCTCGATGAATTCCTTGAGAAATCTTGAGGAAAATTGGATGAAATTGTCAGAAATCTCTAGTAAATCTTTGGAAATTTTGAGAATGCTAGAATGAAATCTGTGTGAAATGTTGACTGAATCCTTGTGCAATCGAAACAGATTCAACCAACTTCTGATGACATCCGACTGTATTCTGTCGGAGCCTTACGTTATCAGGCGTTTCTCTGTGAAAGGATCTTGGTGGTTACGGCATTATCTGACAAACAGTTCCGACAGGATCCGATCGGATCCTTTCCGACGTAATCCGGTTCGGAATCCGTTAGTTAGGAATCCTGTGAAATACGGTTGGGTTCCGATCGGATTTAGTTGAGAACCTGACGAATTCCGGTGTGATCCGACATCGAATCCGATAGTTTCCGGTAGGATCTACAGGGCGGATTGAATCACCTGGGATATCTTCAAGTGAGATAGCTGATAACAGAGATCGAAATGAACAAGAAAATCTAGATTCAGCTCAAGCTTATGTCAGAAAGAGCAAAGATTTATTTTACCGTCATGATCAAAATGTATGCATATCTCGCCTCGAACATTTCCTCAGTTTTCGTGTCTTGTTGTCAAATCTACGAATTGATACAAACTCGAAGCATCAAAAAAGGGCTGCAGAACATGTTAGGCGTTTGATTTTATAAAAATAACTGTTTCCCTAAACTGAAGGGATAGGGTCTAGAAACGGAAATTCACCTATATCTGTCTGTCTGTAACATAGTGACACAAACGACCATTTCTGTAACACAAATAACTGTTTCTATGGTCCATATGACCATATCTATGGTCAAAATGGTCGTTTCTAAAGTAGCGATGACCACGACTATGGAACAAATAACTACTTTATTTTATAAAAATAAACTGCTTTTGCCAAAGACTTCTTCGTTAGATATTAACGTATCTCTTACATTTTCTAGAACTCTTCTCAAAACAGATTTTTGCCTCTATTTGTTTATATGGATAGCTCGATGTCATCAGTCTAGGGTTAGGTGCATCGATTCACGATTTACTTTACTTGTCTTCTCATTGATTGCAAAAAGGAATAGTTTCTCGTTTGCCATGATTGACACTGTTTTATAGGTATCATCTACTTAAAGGAAAACACGAATATTAAGACACCGAGTATGCTAACATAGAATCAAAACTGAATTCGATCTCTATTTTCAGATCTGAACAATAGTTTAGCAAACGCTAAAACTTGGTTGAATCTATCATACAACCTTTGGGTTAGAAAATTAAGACATTTTGCTTATCAGTTAAGTTTTTCAAAGTCAGTTTTAAGCTAAATTAATAAAACAGGGT